CACAGCGTCACAGACTTGCCAGGCTGCCCATACTGGACCCCTGTGGAGGGCACTTCTGAAGTGAGGCTCTTCCTCCCCATCCTTCCCACTTTGTGAGAGTGACGGGGTAAAGAGCAGATTGTTAAGCCCTGAGAGGGGGTCATCTGGAGACAGAGGTCAGAGGACACGATAGAGAGGGGACCCAGGTTGGGTATCAGAGGTGGGGGAAGGTCACAAGTTAGGCATGGGAAGGGGCCATAGTGAGGCTGAGAAGTAACAAGTTAGAGTTGAAGCTCATAGAACAGGATTCTTCTCACCTGGGGGGCCCCAGGCCTGGGGGCAGGGGGAGGAGGCAGATACCAGGGCTGTAGCCACAGCCACCAGGACCCTGCTCAGCCCTGAGCAGCTGCTGCTCATCTGTGGGAGAAAGGCAAAGTCAGGGATCCCCCATCCCTAAGATGAGAGGCTAAAGCACAACACTGGGCTCCCTAGGAGGAAAACAAATGCACCAAATAGGGTATGGCTATCAGAAATCATTGAAGAATCTGACCTGAGGTCCCCTTTCCTACTATATACCCACTGCTATGAACACACAAACTCACACACATGCATACACAGTCACACATATAAACACACACACCGTCACACCCTCAATTTCAGTTCTAGGCTTAGGGCCCAGAACAAAAGCCAGAGGCGACAGACTGTGCCAGCAACCCCCACCACCACCACCACCCTTGGCGCCCACCCCTGGCACCAAGTACTGGTACCAACTCAGCCATTCCCATTAACCCCTCTAATCCAGCTATAGAGAATTCTGGTGTTCACTTTACTTGGTCCAGGGTGAACCACTGCCTCTGATTAACCTGGAGCAGACCTTATCACCCTGGGGGGGAAAGTTGTCATCATTGGTCTGAAGCCACCCTGTACTCCCACCAGAAGGCTTTGCCTTGCTCTGGCTGCCAAGCCTCTCGCCTGAGGCTGGCTCCTTGCTCTGGCTACTTGGGCCACTCAGCTGGGCCTGGCTCTAAAATTTTGTTGGTCTCAAGTCTGTGAGGCTGGATGGGGCTAGAATGTGGGCTGGGGCTGCATAGTTAAGCGGATCCAGATGCCCTGGCTGTTGCCAGAGCCGGGGCGCTGGCAAGGAGCCAGCAGATGGAGATGGAGACAGGGTGGCGGGAAGTAAAGGGGAGGCTGAGAGGAGCTGGGAGCCTGAACGGACAGGGGACTGGCATGGGGGCCACGGCTCCAAGAAATACTCAGAGATCAAGATGGGGAAGCAATGGGGGCTAGTGAGGGAAGGGCTGAGGACAGAAGGAACTTAAAATCCCAGAAGAAGCTAACAGTATGTCTATATGGGGATGGAGGTGCTAGGAGAGAGGAATTCTGGAGGAGGGGAGCAAGAGGAGGAAGGCAGTGGGGAAGTGGCCATGGGGAACCAAGGGACAGAAGGGGAGAGGGTCCTTGCCAAGAGCACCAGAAAAGGAAAAGCATGGGCCCCTCTGGAGTATAAGAAGTAGAAGAAAGCAGGGGCCTCCTTGTGTCTGTCTGAGTATGTCTAGTTGGCTCACCCCTAGCACCCCAGCCACATTTACCCATTTAGCTCCGCCCTACCTCGATTATCCCAGTGGCCAAGTGTCCATGGCCTCCAGGACTTCCTCCCACCAGCTTCAGCCCCGTCTCCTGCTCCTCCACTGAGTTCTGGGACCCCAGAGCCATCCCCTCCTTCCCCTTCCCTGCCCCGCCCCCTCAGAGCCCCAGAGCTCAGCAGCCCCTAGCCAGGCCCCCTCCCCGCCACTCCTCCTCCCTCCTGCCCTCCCACCCGAGGCCCTGGGAAGGGAAGAGGCCTCCCCCAAATCTAGAAAGGAAGCCACAGATGTAGGCAAGGCCAGCAAGAGAGAGAGAGAGTAGGGTTGCTTATACTTATGTCCCTGTCAGTGACAGATTCTCTGTTTTCACACAGCCAAACACAGCCACATTCACACATGGTCTCACTAGGCACAGTTAACAAAAAGACACTCCCTTGAACACATGTGGATACAATCCAACAAAAAATGAGACACAAACCCATGCTCCCACTCTTTTTACTCTCCAGCCAGTGCTTCCTTAGGGCACAGCTGGCTGTGTTTCGAGAAGGGAGGCCCCAGGTTGGGGGACATAAGGAGAGGCCAAAGAGTCCTCCAGTTCTCCCCCTACCTGGAAGTTCCAGCCATTTTTCACCTCCCCCTCTGCTCTTTGGGCCCCAACACCAGGAAATGCCTTTGGTCCCTTGGTACCAGATACACAAGACCCACATTTACCCTTAGACTCACACTCTCAGATACAGCCACTCAGTCACTCACAGTCACCCAATACACTCAGACATCCTGAGACTCAGACACATTTACACATATCATATACTCATGCACACACACACACACACACACACACACACACAGCTTGGGGGAGGGTCACAGCAATTCCTAAAAATAACTCATCATGGTTTAAGCCCCCTCTTTCTGGGACCTCTTAGCAATGGCAGTTTACATCCCATCACTGTTACTGCACCCCAGGTAGCCAAAGAGATAAAGGCAAACAGGAGAGTCAGGCATAGGGACACAGAGAGAGGGACACAGCATGAGAGGCAGAACTAGAAGAGCACATACATAAAGATACTTGGGAAGACAAAAGTATGAAGAGACAGACAGATATCTCTAGGAAGACAGTAATAGGGAGAGAAAAAGGAATACAAAGAAACTGAGTCAGGCAGGGAAACAGAAAATAAACAGTGGTAGACCAGTGGAGGGATTCTTGGGAAGAAGGAGAAGCCAGATGTGTTAGTGACTGTGCTGGACACTGAGGAGACAGTCAGTCTCACCAGCTATTGAAGTGGGCACCCCATTATATGGTCACGGTAAAACTCCCACACAGTCTAAGTTAGGACACAGGACACACACATAGTCACAAGTCTCACTTTTATTCTCCCACTACTGAAGTCACGCACACACAAACCCAGCCACCCACTCTCACACTGGCAAACACAGTCTCAAACCCCACCAGAGATTTTCCCCAAACGCATTCCCTCATGTGGTCACCGCCTCTCTTTCACAGCTCAGTCTCAGCAAAAACTGTGCATTGGTGGACCCAGCATAACCCCACACTTGCACAGCCACATGCATACTCAGCTACATGCGCACAGACACACACAGTCACATTAGCTGACAGCTGCACCAGGTGATATTCAGTCTCACATACAATGACATCGTCACACAGTCACAGCCTCAAAGACACACACACACAGCCCGCCTTTTACAGCATACACAACCACCCTGCCCCGCCCCCTTCTGGCAAGACTGCCTTGTCTACACCCACCAGCCCCACCAGGTCTCACCTTCTGCGGCCCCTGCCGCCAGCGCCCTCTGCCCTCGCCCTCTGCCCCGGCCTCCACTCCCTCCCGCTCTGGGGCCCCCGCGGTGGGGGCGGCTCCGCCCAGGCGCCAATGGAAGGAGACGGGAGAAATAGGGGGGCTCCCGGCCCATTGGAGCCTCCAGCTGCCAATCACCTCCACCCCCACCTCCGCCGGACACTTCCTGTCCCGTCCCAGACTGAAGAGGCTGCCAGGGACAGAGTCTGGAGCTCGATTCCTGGGTCCTCGCCTGAAGGCCTGTCCTCCCTGGAACCGCAGGACTGGAAGGATTCGGCCCCTCCCCCTCCCAGCTGTCCACAACAAAGCCTCAGATTCAGGACTCAAGAGTCATTGGGCAGGTGACTGAGAAGCTGAAGGTGCCCCTGACTCCAGATAAGATAACCAAGGAGGGCTAGTATAGGGCAGTGGCTCTTAAACTTTGCTGGGTATTGTGATTTTAGAACTGCCAATCCCCACTCCATACCAATTAAATCTGAATTTCTGGAAGTTGGACCTAAGCATCAGTATTGTTTAAAACTTCCCAGACGATTCCAAAATGCAGCCAAATCAGAGGTAATAGTGTGTGTGTTGCGGAGGGTGTTAATGTATGCCCTAACAAACCAGCCATCTACCAGAGGTCTCACCTACTCCCAAGTAACTTGGGGCTCCAGGGAAACATGTACATACTATGTCTGTGTGAACTTCTTCCAAAACAGGGCAACACTCACAGGCCCCAGGCACCTCCCCTCCAGGTATAAGGAAAGACCCTGGACTGGAAGGCAGGCAGCCAAGGTTCTTCTGGGTCAGGTGCTCTCACTGTTCAGCCTTGGTGTGATTTCCCCCACCCAGACACTTAGTTGCCCTGAGAAAACAATGGAGACAAAAAGGATTCTGGGCAGCTATACATTATTTACCAGCCCTACATTCAATTTGAGGGTAGTAGGTGACATCAGGTCTGGGTTGCATGGTCCATTGTTCCACAGTCTTGCTAGGAAAACAGGTTGAGGAGGTAAAGGGTACACCAAGGGTCACTCTAGCCCCTTTCTTGCCAAAGCTGTTTTCTGCTCTGTGCAACTGTTTGAGCACAAGGGCATCAGAGCCTACACATACTGCACGTGGGAGTTTGGAGAAGCCAAGGACACAAAGCCACGTACACGCTCCCAACCCGCCCCTTCAGCCCCTGTGGGCTGGAGCAGAGCCAAGCTGCAGCCACTTATAAAGCTAGCGTTCTGGCCAGCAGCCCAGGATCTGGCCACTGACCACTGGGACCAGAATCCAGCACACCCGCTCCCCACCAAACCCTCAGGCCCAGGCTTGGAGGTGACACCCAGGAATGGTGGTAAAGGGGACTCTGGCCTTCCCAAAGCCTCAGCCACAGCCAAGATTTTAAGTCTCCTAAACTGGAAATGCAGTCATTGCACCATGAGTAAGAGAAGCTATAGGCCAGATATAATACTGAATATTAGTGTTTTTTTTTTTCCCAGAGATTTGAGGTAAGGGAGATTATTAATTTTGTTCAGAGATTTGGGGTGCAATTTTTGCATCATGTTTTATGCATCTGTAGACAAGTGTGGCTGGAGGTATGCCTTTAGAATTTAACCCCAGATCCCTGAAGGTCAGATTTCACATTTCTCTGATGTTCGAATATGGATTATAGCTTGAGAAGCACATTTTTATTGATGCTACATCTGCCCAAATTCCAGGTCTCAGTTTCCAGGTGGAAGAGTTCAAGGCCCTGTGGTCAGCATGGTTAGGCAATGGCTGCTGTCTCCCTGTCCTTCTGCCTCAAGCAGTAATGTACCTCAGGAAGTGCCCTTAGTCTCTCCGCAGCCTAGAAAGGAGGCAGAGGGGCAATCAACGAAGTTAAGGGTTGCCTGGGATGGTGGTATGGAGTTCTGAGTACTCAGAAGACATATGGACCTGGGAGACTGTTGGCAAGGACTGCTGGAGTCACCAGAGAATCAAAGAATTGAATAGCTCCTAAGTCCCAAGGAATGCCCAAGTTGGTAAGGGAGTTCTATAATTGTTGGGATCCTTGGAGGAAGCAGAGAAAAGTAGGACCTAAGGACCCAGGATGCTGTGAGCCCTAACCTGCTCAGGGGTGAGGTCCCTCTGAGCCTGGGCAAGCATTTCGTAGCCAACCATGAATTTCCGGACAGTGGCAGAACGCAGAAGTGGAGGGTAGTAATGAGCATGCAGCTGCCAGTGGTCCCAGTTGTCCCCGGCTGCTGATCCTGTGGGAGCCCCTGACAGAAAGAAGAAGAGACGGTGGGAAGAGCACATTCTTAATTCTTTAGCCTGTACCCCCAAACAAGGCCAGGTAACTATATCTCCCAGCATCCTTTGCCAAAGAGGCACCGAGGCATTAAAAAGCACACTGGAGACACAGTTTCACCAATTTTTCTGCACCACCCTTAGTCCCAGCATCTCTGCTCTGGAAACCCAGTAAGGGTTTCAAGGCTCACTAGGAGTTTATAGTCCACTGGGCTGGGCCCCAGGAGCCCAGAAATGGTTTCAGGGGATTAGGTATAGGTACTCAAAAAGCCTCACCATGCCAGCCCATGGAATAAGGAAAGGATGTCTCAAATAGGTTGTCATACTTGGTCAAAAGCTTCTTCATGATGGAGGCTAGATCTGGAATCAGAGCCGGAATCTCAGCCTGGGGCACAAATTCTAGCCCTACTAGAGCCACTCCATCTAGTGCCTAGCCCCGAGGTTCAAGGCCCTCACCATCACGCTCAGCAGAGGTCAGCTCAGGTAGCCGCCGTACATGCCGACGGGGCAGCAGCAGTGTCTGGTAGGGCCACACTGCCCAGAAAGGGACCAGCACTAACCAGTGCTCACTAGTTAGGACCAGACGTTCCTGAGCAGACAGAATGGTTATGAGGTCATGGGGGAAGATGGGCTGCAAGCAAATAGGCAGGAAGCAGAAGAATGTACCCAGAATCTGATGGATTCTCACCACCTACACCACCACCCCTAATCCAAGCCACCATCATCTTTCTTTTAGATTATTGCTAGGACTTCCTACCAAGTCTCTCTCCTAGTTCCCTTCTACCTTTGTCCCTACACATCTATCTCTTTGGAGATAAGAGAGCTAGATACTCGTTAAAGACACAGACTTGACTCTCTCCCACCTTCTTGATTAGCTCCTGGCGACTATACTCCATTAGGAGGGGCACTCCATGCTGACTCTGATAGGCCCGCTGAGATCGCTCCTCACGCTGTGCAATATCTGGCAGGAAACTGCTGGCCCACACCTGTCAAGGTGCAAAAGCAAAGAACATGTAGGTCCTTTACCTTCAAGCCTCCACATCACTAGCATATTTCCGTTGTGCCATTCACCAATCCAGTTCCCAGCCAAGAAACCCACTGGAGCCCATGATACCCTTACCTGGCAGTGGGGATGAGGATTGGAGCAGCCCATCATGGATCCTTTATTTTCAAAGATCTATTTGGTAAGGGTAGGGAGTTTTAGTAGTCAAAGACACCAACTTAATCCCTCCTGACCACACCCTATGGAAATGGGAATGCTACTTCTCAAAACCAAAGTTGCACCATCCCCTCCTTGCCCTTCCAGGAGTGGGGGTGATCTCACAAACCTGCACCCAAGGGTATTGGACACCCAGCTCCTCTGTGACTGAGGCCCATGCATCAACGACAGCCCGGATCTCAGGGACCGACATCAGTGGCAGCGTCATATCCGACCAGGGGTGGAAGCACATGACCTTACTAGGAGGTGAGGGGTAAAGGATAACAGACAGATAGAGCTGGACCACACTAGAGGTAGAGACCAACCCCAGTGCTCAGTTTACAACCCTGGGTTGGAAGTTGTAAGAGGGAAAATCCATAGTTACCAGACTCCTCGAGCAGCCTCTGCTTGGAAAAGGGGATGATCACTGGGTCCTGAGGTAAAGGAATATCACTCTGCAGCAGAAGTCCCCCAAGAGGTCTAGCCTCCCTCCTCCATAACAGCAGTTGGAGCCAGGTTACCTGGACTGGGGGCATCAGGCTGCAAAGCTGGGAAGTCATTGTCAAATAGGAAGGTGGCATCATAGTGGGGATTCACCTGACAAGGATAGGCAAGAGAAGCATTTGCTGCCCTATACTACTATCATCTGGTGGGCTTGAAGAGCTGGACAGGCTACAAGAGGATGGGGAAGGCCCACTCTAAGGGTCAAAAAGTCTTGTTGGGATATGACCCAGAGGATGTCCAGGTCCACTGCTCTATGGATATAGGGCAGCTCAAAGGAGGAGCTACTCCCCAGGCCCAGCCTGCACATGCAGGGCTCTACAGGCTTACCTCTCCATTGGCCCTTGTGGCCCCAGGACACAGAGGATTGAGGGGGTCATGGCGGGGCACTGTCTTCAGAAGCTGGGGCTCCACTTGCCCCTGCCAGGGCCGCTTCATGCGGTGAGCTGATACCAGCACCCACTCATCCTGCAGCGGGTTGTAGCGAATATGCTGATGGTCTAGGGGCAGAAATCAAGATCAGCCCGCAAAACTCTCTCCCCTGGGACTCATCCGCCAGCCGCCCCAAACTCGGGGACATCCTCTCGGCCCGGTCCTGATCAGGAGCTAAAGGGCCAGGACTGAACCTTTCGGAGCCAATTGTCCTGCAGCCCTTCCACGGGCGTCTCTCTTCATGTTACCGGCCTTGCTTGGGGTTGAGACGAGAACTCCCTAAGGAAGGGAAAACTCATCTCGGATCCCAGAGAATCCCAGCCGCCCTGCAATTACCGCTCGCCTGGAAGGCTGCTACCGGGATGTCCGCTTCTGACGCCTGCTGACGCCGGTCAAGATCCGCTCCGCTGCACGACATGAGGACACCAGGAGGGACTGTCCACTATGCCGGCTGAGCAGCAGCGGGCGATTTCATTTCTTGGGCTTCCCGCCCCGCCCCACCCCCGATGATTGGCCAGCCTCCGGCACGTGACTGTATGAGGGCGCTGCCAGGCCACCTGGAGGCGTAGCTCAGGAACTACGAGCGTGGACATTGATAATTCCACTCCTCCCTCCGCCCCCACTCCACCCCCCCGGCATTGGATTCTCTACCTTAGAAGAACCTCTGTGAAAGCTACTTACTGCAGAGTCTCTTGGCTCCACGAGGCTTACAGGACTTTTTTGCTGCAGTCATTCCTTTGGCTATATATTCAGCAAATACTTACTGAGCATCAGACATGTGCTAAGCACCCAGGCTCTGTGTGGGGCATAGGGATGCCCCTTTGTGCATGTGAGTTACGCATGGCCTCAGCCTTCCCTGAGTTTTTATTCTAGGGCGAATAAAGGTGTGACTCTTATTCTACAATCACCTCAATCACTTGCTCAGTGGCTATGGTGAAAGAGAGGCAAGTTGGGGGATAGAGTGGACCCTTATCTACTGTAGCTGAACCTAGCCCCTCAGGAGTTACCTGGAGGAGTGGATACTTCTCTATAGCCATAAGCCAGCCTTACCATCAGAAACAGACTAGGAATAAAGGGCTAAGTAACTACAGTGTCTCTGTCTCACAGACCAAAAGCATAAGAAGTAGAAGAGGCATAAGCATGGTGGCTCATACCTGTAATCCTAGCACTTTGGGAGACCTAGGCCAGGCTGGAGGATTGCTTGAGGCTAGGAGTTAAAGATCAGCCAGAGCTACCCAGAGTGATGGCTCATGTCTGTAGTCCTAGCATACTGGAAGGATGCGACAAGTGGATTGCTTGAGCTCAGGAGTTCAGACCAGCCAGAGCAAAAGCAAGATCCCATCTCTACCAAAAACAGAAAAACTCAGCTATTTTTGGTGTTGTGGTAGGTACCTGTAGTCCCAGCTACACAGGAGGCTGAGACAAGAGGATCCTTTGAGCCCAGGGGTTTGAAGTTGCTGTGAGCTATCATGCTACAGCACTCTACCGAGGGTGACAAAGTGAGACTATGTCTTAAAAGAAATGAAAAACAGCCTATTAGCTGGGTGTGGTGATACATGCCTGTTATCCCAGCTACTCAGAAGGCTGAGCCAGGAGGATCACCTGAGTTCCAGAGTTTGAGGTTGCAGGGAGCTATGATGACATCACTACACTCTAGCCTGGGCCACAAAGTGAGACTGTCTCTAAAATAATAAATGTGGGCTGGACATGGTGGCTCATGCCTATAATTCTAGCACTTGAGAGGCCAAGGCGGGTAGATTGAGCTTACATGTTTGAGACCAGCCTGAGCAAAAATTGAAACCCCCCCTCCCCCCGCCCCCCGGTCTCTACTAAAAATAGAAAAACTGAGGCAAGAGGATTGCTTGAGCCCAAGAGTTGGAGGTTGCTGTGAGCTATGATGCCACAGCCACTCCACCCAGGGTGACAGTTTAAGACTCTGTCTCAAAAAAAAAGAAATAAAATAAATGTGGGAGAGGTAAGAAGACTACAAAAATATCTAAAACTCTGGCAGAACAAGACTGTCAGGAATTCCAGCCACCATCTGGATGGGGTCAAGGGTGTTCCTTTACACATCCCCTTCTCCAAATTTTCCTTAAATAAGAACAATTGGATAACACTTAGATAAAATTCAAGGCTGGGCATGGTGGCTCACGCCTATAATCCTAACACTCTGGGACACCAGGGCAGATGGATCTCTTGAGCTCAGGAGTTTGAGACCAGCCTGAGCAAGTGTGAGACTCCATTGTTATGAAATAGAAAAAAAACTAGCTGGGTGTTGTGGTAGGCACCTGTAATCCCAGCTACTCTAGAGACTGAGGCAGGAGGATCACTTCAGCCCAAGAATTTGAGGTTGCCATGAGCTATGATAATGCCATGGTACTCTACCCAAGGCAACAGAGTGAGACTGTCATTAAAAAAAAAAAAAAAAAAA